GGCGGGTGCCGGGCGGCCGGGGGCGCTGACAGGCGCGTGGGGCGGGGGAGGCCGGGAGGTGTCACCCCGCCGGGCGGGGTGGAAGTGCCTGGAAAGTTTGTTTTCGGTTGGGCTCAGCCTGCAGCCGAGCCTCTGGGCTTACCTTGCGGTCCTGCCTGTGGAGGTGCAGCCTTTGGCGTTTACCTGGAGCAGGGTTCTGGGAAGATGAAGATGTGGGTTCCTGTTCGTAGCGCCTGATGCTGGCAGCTCCGTTTCCAGATTGTTGATTAGAGTGCTCTGGTACGTTCTGCTCTCAGCCGCGCGTTTGGGTGCTCCTCCGGTCTGTGGCTCAGCTCACTGAGATGGGAAGCCCCGAGAGGCCCCAGCGAGGAGGATGAGTTTGACAAGGAGGAGGGGTTTTAGGGAAAGGCAAAAAAAAAGAGGCTCCAAACACTTGTTGGATGACATGTTTGTTTTCTCTGTATTGCTGAAAGTGTCCTTAGTGTTTTTGTATTTTTTAAGTCTTCGAGTCTTAGAACCGTGGGCTAAGCGTGTATACCTTGTATGCAGTGTGAAGTGGGTGATGGAGGGATGTAAGACAATTAGCAAATTTTGGTTCAGAAGGCAGATGCCCTTGGGTTAGGACTAGAGCTCATTGGTAGAGTGCTTGCCTGGTATGTTCAAGGTCTTGGGTTTGAGTCCCACTCCCATCTCACCCTGGAAGGGAAGGATGCAAAGTTCTTCACTCAAGGAGCACCTAAGAAGTTCACTTGGTCCCTTACCGTCCAGGATGTATCTATGGTAGTGGTTTTTAATGTTTTGGGAGGGTCAGTGGCCCCTTTCAGAATCTGAAAGTATGGACCCCCTTTGAGAAGTCTGTACAGCTGCACTGGATTTTATGGCAGTGGGAGGCTTTTGAACCTTCTGCAGCTCATTACCTTCCGTTGTAGAGATGGGTGATAATCCAAAGTCTAAAATGAGGAGGACTTATCCAGTTAAGAAAAATGGTGAAAGGCGAAAGTGTTGCAACACTTGCAGGCATACCCAGGGGTGCCTGGACTAGTATGCAAAAACATGAATCGTGGAGGTGGGAGTGACAGACATCGTGGATGTTTGTGAAATGAACTTTAACACAGTGATGCTGTTGCAATGTGTAAGGTGTATGTGTATTTGATGGTGTCTGTGGGAAGAGGAAAAGAGCAGGTTTTCTCATATGGTCTTGACACTTCTCTCACTGGCTTTGACATCGAAATACTCTTACCAAGTAACTTTTTTTTGTGTTCAAAGCACAGAAATTTAGTGAACAGAAAAGAATTACAGAATAAAAGAAAGACTTCTCTGTAAGGAAGTCAACTAGGCCTTGCATCTTTGTCATCTAGAGTCTCCCACATGTGCACAGGTGAGAATATGTCCTGTTTGCTGTTAGTAATGACAGAGATGGCTCCAGTGTTGGATTTGCACCTGAAGACAAGATGATGTGCATGGTTCAAGTGGGCTTGCATCTGAACTTTAACCTGATATGCTGACACTGTCCAGTTAACTTTCATCTGGGCCTTTACACTTGTACAGCCAACAGGGGGAGCAGTATGAGCTGTGACTGGACACTGGCCTAGTTCCATATGCCTTTAAGGTGGGCTAGAGGTTATAGTCCCATTTATTGAGCCCTTCAAGGCAGGCATTTTTCTTTGTACTTCATTCATACTGTGTTGTGAGGTAGATCTTGTTCCCATCTTACAGGTGAGGAAACTGAAGTGAGAGGTTAAATACATGCCTCATAACTAGAAGAGCAGGATTTAGCAGAAAACCCCAGTGTCACTCTTGACCCTTATATAAAGATCTCCTAAGGGAGGATCTGTTGGACAGCTTAGGGCCAAGCACTTGGTGTGAGGAAGTCCTTAGTGCCACTGCCCAGGGTGTCTTCTTGGGGCTTGAGCCTGAATGTGTTAACTGTGTCATGCTGGGGCAGGAGGGACATCGTCATATTTCTCTGGGCAGATGAGTGCATTCTTTGACCCCCTGGAGCCTGTTTCAGCTGTGTGCTGTCAGAAAACAGCTGTTTGGAAAGAAACTGTGTATAGCTTGCCCTCATTGAGGGCTGGTATGCTGCTGGGGTCAGGCTTGAAGTCCCTCCTCACCCTTGGAAAAAGATATGTGGTTTGATCAGCGGGAAAAATGGGGAATTGGGCAGAGCTTAAGGTGCTTTAGTTTTTGCACGGTTGTTGCATCGGTCATGAAAAGGTGGAAAGCATGCAGAAATGTGGCTTCAGATTGTCGCTTCTTGAATAGCTAGCTCTTCCTCATGTGTCCTTCCTGTCATGGAACATGATACATTTCCATCTCCAGTGATGATCCAGCAGGCAAGGCCAAGTCCCCATAAGAAATAGGAGTGAGGACTTTTTTGCTTCTTTTTAAAAAAGATTATTTTTATTTTATGTTACTCTATTTTATGTTTATTTTATGGACAGTTGAGCATCTCTCCAGTCCCCCTTTTTAAAAATTTAATTTTTTAAGTTAATTAATTTATTTTGGTCTTTTTGAGACAGGGTCTCCCTGTAGCCCAGCTGGCCTGGAACTCACAGAGATCCACCTGCCCCTTCTCTGCCTCTTGAGTGCTGGGACCATGTCTGACCTTGTTTTTATTTTTATTCTTTTTTAAAAAATATTTTATGTGTATGAGTGTATTGCATGCATGTGTATAAGTGCACCCATGTCATACAGTGCCTGCAGAGGTCAGAAGAGGGCATTGGATACCCTGGAACTGGAGTTACAGACAGTTGTTAGCTGCCATGTGGGTTTTGGGAGTTGAACCCAGGTCCTCTGCAAGAGCTGAGCCATCTCTCCATCCAGCTCCTATTCTTTTTTTTCGGTCTTTTTGAGATAGGGTCTCCCTGTAGCCCCAGCTGGCCTGGATTCGCTATGGAGACCAGACTGGCCTCAAACTCCCAGAGATCATCTGCCTCTGCCTCCCTAGTGCTGGGATTAAAGGCGTGTACCACCAGGCCCCGCTCTTTTTTGTTTTTTAATTTTTATTTTATGTGTATGTGTGTCGGATCCCCTGGAACTGGAGTTACAGACAGTTGTTAGCTGCCATGT